TATTCGTGTTTTTAAGGCCTTTAAACAAGTTTTGTCTCGACTTTAAGGAGAAATTTCCACTATTTGTTCACTTGTTTTTAATTCACATTTATTAAACATACTATTAATTTATTTATTCAGTTGCGTTAAAAACTGACAGTAATATAAATTAAATACATTATCAACCATTATGTTTATTTTTAGTTTATATTTTTCATTGAAAATTTCATATTGAACAGTTATTGTATAGTAATTGCTATGAATTTAGTCGTTATAAAAATATTGCATTTAAATGATGAAACCATTGATTAAATTATTAATTGTTATTAATTTTCCAAAATTTTTAACAAAGAAAGGGTTTGAAAATATGATAACTATTTTGAATAAATATCTCTTTTATAATCTAAATGATACATAATTTTAAAGACATTGTATTACATTTTATATTGACATGAAATTAATTTAAATGCATAGAATCAACATTTACTAGAAGATGATATCAATAATTTATTTGACGATTATTTAAATTTTAAATAAAGAAAACATTTAATAAAATTTTATCTAATTTATGGACTGAAGTGCAATATAATCACACATTAAACACAGGGTTTGTATTGTAAACAATATATCATTAAAATTAGGTCTATATAAACACTTTTATAAATAGCCACAAAAATAAATTTAATCAAAATGAAGTCATTTCTAACATTAACTATACTTTTGTTAAATATATGTTTAATATTTGCAGCAAATGAAGACGAGATTAAGAGTCTTCCGGGTCTTTCGGATCCAATTAATTTCAAACAATATTCCGGTTATTTAGATATCGGCGACGGAAAGCATTACTTCTATTGGTTGGCTGGGAGTCAGACGGCGCCGGAGAGCGCACCGGTAGTGTTGTGGTTGAATGGAGGGCCCGGTTGTAGTTCACTGTTTGGAAACCTCGGAGAGAACGGACCCTTTCGAGTCAATTCAGACGGAAAGACATTGACATTAAACCCGAACTCTTGGAATTCAGTGGCGAATGTTGTTTACTTTGAATCACCCGTTAGTGTCGGCTTCAGTTATAAAGACGATAAAGAGTATTATAATACGGATCAGTCGACAGCAGTTGACAATCATTTAGCTCTCGAAGCGTTTTTCAAGAAATACCCAAACCTTAAGAAAAATCCGTTTTATATAACGGGTGAGAGTTATGCCGGAATTTATATACCAATGTTAGCCAAAGAGATATTGAGTTTAAATTCATCGATAAATTTGAAAGGTAAATTATAAACAATTCAAGCAATTGTAACATTAATATTTAATTTGTCTAAAAGGTGTTGCAATTGGGAATGGATTTCTAGACTTGGGAACACTCGGCGGTCAACACAGCAATGACCTATTCTTAGGCCACGGATTCATTACAACTGATTACTACGAGAAGAAAATTGAAAATTGTTGTCAATGCAAAACAGGACAGGTTTTACACGAATGTGATTTTGATAAAGCCATCAATTATACGTAAATAACATTTGTTAATAACTTGTATATTAATTGACATAACTAATTACATATATTTAAAGTATTCAATAGATTTGTAAACACGTGATCAATTTATAACTTGTAAAATATTTGCAGAAAGTGTTCATCGGTGCCATACGAGGGAAGTTTCTCTCCCAACCCGTACAACATATACGATGATTGCGATCCCAGTTCTGCATACATAAGACTTTATAACAAATACTACGCAAAGAAAAGCAATCGTCCGCCGATTATAGCATCCAATCGTGACAAAGACTGTCCACACAATGGCTACGAAGACTACTTGAATGTACCCGAAGTAAGGAAAGCATTACACGTAAGACCTGAGGACACCCACGAGTGGTATGATTGTGGCGGCAGTTATTCCGGGTCTCCCACCGATCAGCACCAAACTGTTCACCAATTATTAGATGTCTATAAAATGGGAAAACTAGTCATATTTAATGGAAACTTTGATTCGGTTTGCGATCACATCGCGAATCAACGTTTTGTCGATAGTTTGAATCTACGAAAACTCAGTGATTATAGGTATAAATAGTGTATTTCATTTTACGCAAACTAAATAATGTAATAAATTTATGGATTTCATAATTACGGTACTCTCTATTTCCTGTTTCTCTCTATGAAATGGTTAGTTCGTGGGTAACACCGGACGGAATTATTGGTGGTTTTGTACAGCACTATGAAAAGGGATTGAGTTATGTGTTGGTTCGCGGGGCCGGACATATGGTTCCTCACGACAAACCCGAGGCCGCACTTCAGATGCTTAAGAATGTGATCGGGGTTTCAATGTTTTAGTTAGATATAATGATATTTATAATAAACATTAAATCAATGTAATATGTTAAGTGCAATATAATATACTATAATTTATAAGTTTATATTTTTATGGAATTTAATTGTAAAATTATAGTCAATAAACATAAATAAAAAATAAATTTATTTTCTCAAAAATTACAATAAACTTCTAAAAATGTATTAATTATATTTTAATAATGTACTTTACAGCATATAATAACAATTTTACTGTACTTTATAAATATGTGATACCAAATGCATTGACATTGATTCTCAATTGTGACATAAATGTGTGTTTAATAAAGTAAAATATAAGCATATCATGCGATAAACGATATTAAACTAATCAATAAAACTTCTCAGAAATTTAGGTACACTTACCTGAAAGACAACTCGAAGACTAATCGGCAATAATTTTAAGTGTTTCTAAAAACATTTTATCACATGTTTGAAAGAGTAAAGTGGACCACAAATGTGATTAAAGTAATCACCTTATAGTTAACATTGAATAAATTGATATTTAAAGAAATACAATTCATTTGTATTTATAGTTATCAATAATACAATTAAAAAATTGTATTAAAAATGTTTTCCTCAAATATTAACAATATTTGTATAGCATTTATACTATACTTCTGTGTAGTATTTGCTGCAAATGAAGACGAGATTAAGAGTCTTCCGGGTCTTTCGGATCCAATTAATTTCAAACAATATTCCGGTTATTTAGATATCGGCGACGGAAAGCATTACTTCTATTGGTTGGCTGAGAGTCAGACGGCGCCGGAGAGCGCACCGGTAGTGTTGTGGTTGAATGGAGGGCCCGGTTGTAGTTCACTGTTTGGAAACCTGGGAGAGAACGGACCCTTTCGAGTCAATTCAGACGGAAAGACATTGACATTAAACCCGAGCTCTTGGAATTCAGTGGCGAATGTGGTTTACTTTGAATCACCCGTTAGTGTCGGCTTCAGTTATAAAGA